GATTTTAGCTTCTTCTCTGATATCCCCCCAATCCACGTGCTTTTTGCCTAAACTTTTATTGTCCCGTTGGTTATAAGATAAACGCTTAGTCAAAATTTAGGCAACGATTGTGGTGATATCAGAGAAGAAGCTAAAATCAAATTATAAAATTTATGGCGTCGACATATTCATTTAATTTTATGCACAGATGTACAATTTCTCGTTATTCTATTCACTATAGAAAAAGTATCCAGTTTTCTTATGGAGCCCTACGTGAGTGACCAGTAAAGTTAGACGTTACTCACAAACGAACGAAGAGGGTCATCAGGTTTCCAATCACTTTCTGATGGGACTAGTATAATTATAGGTAATGGATGATGCTGATGCCGAATATCAGAGTGACAAAGATCCATACGCCCTTGAAATCTAATTTTTAAAAATTATAAAACTGAAACCTGTGCTACTATGACGAGAATTAACATCATCGATTATCTGTAATCACACGACTTTTATCAAAAATGCAATTGAAAATTTGGTGACCTTTCCTCATAAGCTGAAACGATTGTTACTTTTAAACTATGTTAAATGATTCAGATAACCCATCACAAAGGCATTGTTTACACTTTTCTTTTACTTCCATGGCGCTCCTCTAATCATCATGACAAACTGTGCGCGATGTTGCATCAAAGTTTTCTTTTTAAATTTTCCATTAGAACTATTAGAGCAAGAGGTCTCATCAGCTGTGCTTAGGCGAATCATCGAATTATTATGAATAAAGATGATAAATACAAACTTCAAACCAACCTATGACAGAATCTTCTTCTCCTTTCATATGTGATCTATTTTGGACTAATGTTATGCAAAGTTGAAGTATCGTAATTTATCCAAAATTGCTTTAAAACACCACGATACTTTCCTAAGTGAGTTTAAGGAGTTAGTGCTGAAGATTAATGTCGATAACAGAGCCCTGGTGCTTTCATCTGGCAAAAAAAATGTATTTACATTTGTGTCCGGAAAAAGAAATGTGTTCATTTTTGATTAGATGAAGAAGATTGTTGATTTATAATATCATCATATTAATAGCTGTTGTTATTTACGGCTTGTATATATCACTGTAGTCTCTAGTTTGCCTTTTCCATTATTTCTGTACAGATTGCACAAAACGTTCTACAACTGAACACTGTAGACGCAGACGAAACATGTCGCACAGAAGAAGTTTCTTATAACGGCCTTAGTACTAAACGGCTTGTCCACGTAACTCCGCTGGCAGAGATGTCATAGCTTTACCTTTTTTGCTCATTTTGTTTTGAGCATAGCTCCGCTACGAAACGTTCTAGAGAGCTCGGGAACATCTCAAATTGAAGAAAAAATTCTTTTAAAGATTTCGAGATTCGTCCGCCTCCTGGAAAGTATTCCTTCGAAAAGCTGTGATGAAAATGTGGAGAGCTACATTTCTGTTTTTTTTCGTAAAAAGTAGGTCTCACCATTTTGCATGTAGATTCTTAAGAAAACATTTTTCAGGTGACGGATGCATCTCAAAATCTTTAAAAGAATTTTTTCTTCAATTTGAGATGTTCCCGAGCTCTCTAGAACGTTTTGTAACGGAGCTATGCTCAAAACAAAATGAGCAAAAAAGGTAACGCTATGACATCTCTGCCAGCGGAGTTACGTGGACAAGCCGTAAACAGTTGAAAGTAACAATTATCAGTCATTTATAAAACCTTTGGACTGCTTGTTTTTCAAAACAGTTTCAAAACCTAGTGAAAACGTACATTAGGTGAAATAACCTATTTCTGCCTAAAATTAAAAAATTCATAACTCAGTGAAGATCAATGTAAGTTATGTCAGAATATCAAGGTGTACTCTATTTTACCTGCTTAATACTATGGAGTTCAACAGAAGCTTTAAAAATCGACTGAAAATATTCTAGTTTTTGAAAGGGTTTTCTAGAAATCTTTCGAAGTACAAGAATGTTTTTTACTATTCCCAAGTGAAAAATTTGGAGCAGGTAAAATAAAGTACATCTTGATATTCTGACATAACTTGGATTGATCTTGACTGAGTTATGAATTTTTGAATTTTACTCAGAAATAGGCAAAAATGGGTTATTTCACCTAATGTACGTTTTAACTAGGTTTTGAAACTGTTTTGAAAAACAAATGTTGCCAAGAGATTCAGCATAGTCAGTAACCTATGTTCCAACCTATGGATTCACTTAGAAATCCTCCAGAGACCCACACAAAAACGTTGGTTTTTGCATATTATTACGTGCCCCGGTCTTGGCTACACGATGGCGAAAACCCGATCTCGATAGCTCATTCCGTTCTCGAGTTATTCATGTCGCAATCACCCACACTATATTTTGAAATGGATAGTAATTTTGTGAAACTACTCGTCGATATACGTCTTATATGAAAATATAAGAGAGTAGTGCCTAAACTTCTATAATTGGATTAAAATTCGAAGGAACAAGGTCTCTAAATTGGTCCAAATAATAAAGACAGAGCAACTTTTATTTAATTTCTCATCGTAACTTTGGACTACTACAATAGTAATATATGATGCAAAATTTTGAAAGAAATTCATGTTCTATATCAAAAGCTATAGTAGTCCTACTGAGAAGTGTAAACGAGTCATGTTTTTTCATAAAAGGTCATCATTTAGGAACAGATTCATCGCCTTCAATAGCTATGCCATCAGAAATTGGTTGGAATCAACCAGAAATCATCTGCCTTGTGCCGCTGGGAGATCTAACATTCTCTGATTTACTACCATCAGAAATTCCTCTGAAGACTTACAATGATCCTCTGCAATGTATTTCGTACATGACAACGACCAAATGTAGAAATATTTATTTAATCATATTGGATACAATAGACGAAACTATTCTAAAACTATTACATAAACTCAGACAAGTTGTATCGCTTTATTTACTTCAAACCGGAATAAAAGAGATTGAACTAACAAAATATTATGCTAAATTGTCAAGAATATTTCATGATAAACGAGACCTTTGTAATAAGTTATTAAACGATATTAATATACTTTCGGCATGTACAACAACATTGGCAAGCAAATATCCACCGGAGTTATTAAAATACTCTACAACCTCTACAACAATATTATTCATTAGATCCAAAAATTTTGAGCAATTATCATTAAATAAGTTAAATAACGAACAAGCTAAATTCATTTGGTTTCAATTTTTAACACGAGCAATACGGCGTTTACGAGAACAAACAAATAATAAATATGAAAAAATGTTAGCGACGTGTCGAATACAATTTGAAAGTGATACTCAACAATTAGATGCGATTAATGACTTTAAAAGTGATTACACATCTTCCACCAGGCATGGGCGAGTCCGAGTCCGGACTGGAAGATTTTTTGGCGGACTCGGACTTGGACTCGGACTGGAGATTTTTTTAAAGGACTCGGACTCGGACTTGAGTTTTTGTATTTCGAAGCCCGATC